TATATATATTGATTGATGCTAAATTATTATATTCAATGACTTTTCACAACTAAGATATTATATCATAAAATATTTGTTGAGAAATTTACCCTTTTACAATAATTGTTGATTTTAAATTTATTTTTTAAAGTGATTATATTTTTTTTAAAAATAGAATTTAAGATAGCAAACACTTTAGTTACGATATATTTTTTTTGAAACTAATTTTGTAGTTAGAAAATATATTTTTTAAAACAGTCATTGACATTTGTATATATTTTTAGTGTAACTATTAATATTGTTATTAAATCATATTTTACAAAACAGTGGATGACATTGTTTAAATTATTATATAATAACCAAATATTTTTGTTGCTAAATCTTATTTTCTAAGCTAATTTATAAAGTTAGGAAAAATCCTTTTTACCAACATTTTAAATGGTTGCTGTAACTATCTTTTAATAACAATTATAATAGTTGCATAATAAATCTTTTACCAACAGTCCAACAGGGTAGAGAAAATATATTTTTTGCAACATTAATTAGTATTATTAAATCATATTTTACAAAACAATGAATGACGTTGTTTAAATTATTATAAGGCAGCCACATATAATTGTTGTTAAATCTCATTTTCTAAGCTAATTTACAAAGTTAGGAAAAACCTTTTTTACCTACATTTTAAATGGTTGCTGTAACTATTTTTTTACAACAAATGTAATAGTTGTATAATAAATCTTTTACCAACAACTCAACATGGTAGAGAGATTTTTATATCCCATGTAGTAGGTTTGTCCCCAACACTATTTTACAAAATAATTTATAATGTAGAGAAATTTCTTTTTGGTAATAATTGTAATCGTTGTGAAAATGCATTTTTAATAATGACTAATTTAGTTGCATAATTTTTTTTTTGTAACAACATTTTTTGGGTATTGAACTTACTTTGCATAACAACTTATTTTTGTTGTAAAATTATACTTTAGGTAATTACTTATGATGTTGCTATAAAATAATTTTAGTAATGATAAATATAGTTATTAAAAGTTAATATAACAACCATTATTATGTTGTTGCTATTGTTCTTTACCTACGGATATATATTGTAGGTATTTTGTTTTACTTACTATTTTTTAAATATAAGTATAGGTTCATTAATCTTTTACCTACGATATATAATACTGTAGGAATATGTACATTTACGTAATTAATTATCTATAGTTACAAAACATAATGTTACACTTTTTCCTCCGTATGTATAAGCTTGGAATGGAATATACCTACAGATTTTGACCATATATATACAAATTTTGTCCGTAGCTAAATGGCAAAAATGCTGTAGTGAGTGGATGTTCATGAAGAAAGTATTTGGGCTCTCTCTCTCTCTCTCTCTCTCTCTGAGAGTATGCAGATATGGGAGACAATAGCGAGTGAGATGGGAAATATAAGTTATTGAAAACCAGCTAGCTAACTTCAGGTGAGGATGAGGTACCCATTAAAAAAATGAGCACACCCAATTTATAAACTTTAGAAAACTACTTAAACCACTGTTGTATATGTGTGACAATGGAATCGCGTCGAACTAGATTCTCTTGCTTCTCCTTTCCATTATTCCATTTTCTTTCTCTTTTGCCCTTTATTGTTTTCCTTTATTCCATTTTCTTTCTCTCTTCTCTTTTGCCCTTTTTCTTTGTCCTTTCCATTATAAGCTAATTAAGCAAATAATTAAACATAAAACCTCATTCAGCTCATTCCCAAGTGCAGTATTCATCACATTTGGAATGAAGGCATCATGCCTTTTGACCGTATTGCTAAGAATCGCTTTAATGTTTCCCAGAGCTTGCGTATATATTTTGTGTCCCCACCTCTCATGCCATTGGTATTTTTTTTGTCTGCTGATGCTTACGGGGTTGGTTATTCCCAGGGACACCTGTAACTAATTTCTTTATGTATTCTTTATTTTCACCAAAAAAAATTAAAATTAAAATTAAAATTAAAATCCGCCTACTTTCGGCCATACCTTAAAATAAAATTGAGAGAGAAAAGATAAGAATTTATCATATTCATATATAAAATCATAAAAAATAAATTAAATTAAATTCTATCTAGAAATAAAAATAAATATGTTTTTGAGAATAACAGTAGATTATAATTATATACCATAAATAAAGAATTTCTCATTCAAAATATTATAGTGAATGCTGTC